AGTCATAACTACTCTTAGCCATATCTTTTTTATAATTCAAATTGCTATTAGTTCATCCTTGAATGAAAACTATTTTCTGGTTCTCCCTAACGTAATTTTAAGACAAAGCATTACCAAAACAGCTTTCAGTATAAATTAGAAGAATGTGACTCTTTTGCATTTCATTAAAAGCAGCTTCATCTGATGAAAAAGATGATCATAATTACAATTACATGGAAGTCTGTTTTGCCTGAATGCATCCTTCTTCTATTCTATCATGTTGGGCTCTGTAGGACTCTGATCCACCATTTGGGGTTAATTTATGTAGTTCTTCCATCCAGATGGTGGAATCACACAAGGACCCGCACAAGAAGAGCTGTTCAATCACAATGATGTGGTAGAGAAGATTTTGTATTGTCTCACACAGCAGGAACCTTGCTGTACAGCAGAACATATTGTGCTGTTTAACGGGACTCTCACATTTGGGGGCACCTCGAAACACAAAGCGTACTTGGGGTAAAAATAGCACTTCAAATTTGGATTTCATGTGTACCCACTTCTTAGCATGGCACACAGTTTTGTTTTCCCTGTCTTGCCACTTTTCAGGATAAAGTGGGAATAACATCTACGTATTTGGGATTCAGATGAACAAGGATCTAAGAAGTATTACTAAGGGGCAAAGATGTAATTTGGGAATTATCTAGTTCAATAAAAACAAAGACACTGAGCTAATTACAAGGAAGCAGTTAAGTCAAAGGTAATTAAAGAAATTGGATTTCAAATGTCTGAAAGGGTGTTCTTTTCTTCAGGATTCCTGTCAATAGAAAGCTAGAGTGTACTATTTCCATTTTTAAATGTATATACTGACTTTTTCACTACTTATGTCAGGCATCTTACAAAGAAAACAGCCTCAAATTAACATAAATGTCATTATCAAATTATAACAAAGCTATCATAAAACACGACTATAAAATACAACAGTATTGCATTGACAAGCCGGAACATTCAGCCAAATGCTTCCCCGAATAGCCATGCTTTTACCAGACTCTTACAAGGGCACAATCCCAGGCTCTGGCAGTTTTCATCGGAAAAAGCATTCAGCAAAAGGGCAGCCACTGCAGAAAAGGCCCTCTTTCAAATAATTGTCCATCATAAGGTAAGCAGTTGAGTACTCAGATCCCTAAGTACTAACTACTACTACTACTACTACTGACTTTAAAGGCCGAAATTAACACCTTCAATTGAGCCAAGAAATAGCATGTCAACCAGGTGAAATAAAATAAAATGTATAGAGTATGTTCTTGATGCCTAACCCTTGTTAATAAACAGGCAGTGAGATTTTGCTTCAGCTGATTTTCTCAATGCTTTTCAAGGCAGACAGCATTATTCTAGTCTAATCTGGAGATCACTATAGCATGAATGACAATGACAAGTTCTGATTTCATTCAGAAGGAAAATGGCTGGCATGCTGACCAAAGTTGGAATAAGATTTCCCTCACCACATTCAGTGGAGTGCCTCGTCAAGGAGCTTGTGCAAGCTGCTAACTTAATCTTTTAGAGGACGTGTAACCCACCAAAGATGGGCATCACAGTATTTCAGTCTTGAATGGAAAAAGATTTAATTTGTTTTGCCCTATCCAGCCCTTGGGGATGCAGGTGCTGCAGTGGTTTAAACCGCTGTGCTGGTTGATCAAAAGGTTGCCAGTTCGAATCTGCACAACAGGGTGAGTTCCCGTTGCTCCGTCCCAGCTCCTGCCAACCTTGCAGTTCGAAAGCATGCAAATGCAAGTAGATAAAAAGGTACCACTTCGGTAGGCAGGTAACAGTGTTCCGTGCACTTCGATGTTTAGTCATGCTGGCCACATGACCATGGAAATTGTCTGCGGACAAACTCTGGCTCCCTCAGCTAGGAAACGGAGATGAGCACCGCCCCCTAGAGTCAGGCATGACTGGGCTTAATGTCAAGGGGAAACCTTTACATTATCCAGCCCTTATCACAGTAGACAAGATGTGTGATATGCTTGTGTCTTTGTTAACAAAAAATACACCTGCAAAAGGCTGTGGATGCAGTAAAAGAATGAAAATTTTGATCAGAAGCACTGGCTTCTGGGAAAAGGTTTAAATACATTTCCCCTCATGACCCTGATCAAATGTACAGATTCCAGATGCAGTATTTATTTGAAACAAGATCCCACATGTCCACCAAGAGATGTGTGATCTAATTTTGATCTAACGGAAAACACAATGTGTGACTTAGCCCATAGTTGCTGAACTATATTGTAGCTATGGAGATTGGCAAAGCAAAGTAGTAAACTTAAGACCAGCTTGATGCTTTATTTAGGACCCAAGTTGACAGCTCATATTTGCACTTGTGAAAGTTAACTCATACAAGTAATCCCAAATAATGCATCACAGAAAAGCCACAAAGTAGTGGATTGTTCACAACCTCCATTCAACAGATCTTACCACAGAAACCCCATTTAATGATCATGGATTCTGAGAGGTTGAATCAGTTGGGATATATCCTGGATAGGTTCTTTAGGTTCCCGCTGAAATCAAAGGGGCCAATTTCAGCTAACTTGGTCTTGATCAAACCCATAACTTTTAGTTCATTAATATGCTCATTTCCATAGAGGTAAATGTGATAGCAGTTCAAGATTATCACTTTCCTGTTTTTACCATTATCTTATAATGTACGTGTTTTTTTTCTGTTCCATAAATACTCTGCAAAATCACCCATACGTAAGTCAGGTGTATGTAATTATAATTCCCCTGTGTTCCTGCTTTAATGTCTGTTTGATGTACCTGAAGCTCTACTGGTGAAAAAACTAAACCAACCACAGAGGTTTGTTTTATTCAGCGGCACCTTTTAACCTCTTTCTTCTAGCCTCTACCACCTCTTTGGATACCAGCCTGAAGCAAATGAAACAACCTATATATACCTGCATACAAACATGCGTAACTATATACTTTAAAATTGTTTCCACAAGTACAGGAAAATGAAAATGCCTTCAGTGATTCTAGCTGTATAATTTCAGCTTGGGATTCATAAAGAATAATAAAGTTGTTTTTCTACCTATCCAGTTTATTAGCTAATAAAAACAGCTTAGCATATTAAATTTCACTGACACACATTTTTTCAAAATGGGACTGCAGAGCAGTATAACACAGTCTTTCCCCCTCAAGTCACCTAGGCATGTTATTTCCTTACCCTTTTATCTATTAAACTTCTCTAGAGAAGGAAAAAATATTCCCTCAAACACAAAAGAAAATGAATTTATTCAATCACCCATAGCACCATAAAGAACAGTAAAGTATCATGTTCTCCTAAAAAGGAAAAGAAATTAGTTTCCACTGACAAAAGATATTATAAGGATGTAAAAGAAAGTAATGGACAACGAAAGCTTTCTATCAGCCATATCTCTTAAGGAAATTTACTGTTAAGAAAAATATAATGCACATTTCATGTGGCATCATTTGTTAAGAAGGATTCCTTGTCTAAACGTAATTCAAGGCAGCATTGCACAGTAAGAAGACAGCTATTTTAAGTGCATACAACCAATGTTAACCATGTTTAGAACTGTATTATAGTGCAAGTTTAATTGGAAAGTGGAAAAGGAAAGTAGGAAGTAGACAGCAATAAAACTAAAACAAAGTATGCCAGGAAAGGGAGCAGGGTGGAAGAAGCTATCATATCTTTACAATGTAACTTATCTTTATCCCACACTAAGGTATCATTATTCCATCAACATATGTATGACTGTAAATTACTGACACTGAAATGCTGAAACATGAAACTTTGGTTACTAGATAAAACATATAGCTTGCTTGGGATGTACTTTGAAGAGGCTCCTGCAGCTGGGCTATGCATTCTACATTCTTAAAGGCCACTTATCTGGCAAATGGGTTCTAACAGTTATGAATTTATGGGCTGATATACACTTCAGATCTCTTATCTACTCACACTGAAGATTAAAGTTTTGCCTCCTGTTTTGCACTGTGATAGTGAAGTGGAAAACTACAGGAGCCAAGACTGTATCTGAAGTCGCTGCTTATAACCAGCAAACTCTGTTTCTGAGAATTCAAAAAGAAATTAGGTGAACATTAAGTCCCCTTGAGGTTTCCATCACTTTTCACAGCATGTGCTTAAAAATTGCTAACTGGAGCACATTCTGCTGATCAGTAGAAAAAAGTTTCATTTAAATAATGCTGACTTTATGAAATGATTAAGGAAGTGCTTCTATGATTGTTCACTCAATACTTGTAAACCACTGAACTAGGAGCATCTAGTACAGCTTGGGGGGAGCAGTGGAGGCAATCTCTGCCTAACCACACCCCTCATTCTGCAGTTTAGCTAGATAGATGTTTTCAGCTGTCTAGATGAGGCTCTTTGGGGGGGGGGGAGAAAGAACACTGAACTACTGTCAGGACACCTTGTATCTTGGTGGTCCCAGTATATATTTCTTCCTCTCCAAGGCCAATCTCTCTGATCCCCCTTTACTCCTCTCCAAGGTCAATTTTACAACCTTTGAGAAGCAGCCAATATGGTTCTTTCCATGCCAGCTGCAGAAAGGGGTGAAGGAGAATTACAATGTGCATCCCCAGCTCTGAGGTCAGAGATTTTCTTTTCAATCTGTTTTCAAAGGATCTGGGAGTCTTTTGGTTGATGTCTATCGGACCAAAGGACTGGCCTCTACATTTTTTGATTGTTATGTATTGGGGTGGGAGAGAACATTTCAGAGGTCAGACCTTCTGGACAGCAAACATTCATTTAATGTCTACACAGAGCACAGACAGTACTGAATTCTTCTTCAGCCTACAAAAAGAACCACTTCAGTGATCTCTTTTCCACTGAAATAAAATATAGAATTCCAGCAGGTAAGGGAATAACTCGACTTTGTCATTTTATTAATTATCAATAAATGCTTCAACTATTGTACAAGTCTATATATAAATAAATACCTCATATGTTGCTGTGTGTCTGGCCTTGCACCATCATTCCTCAGCAATGTAACTCTTACCTGAGTCATCTTGACAAGGTCCAGTGAAGGTCTCTGTTCCTTTACCTCCTCAGGCCGCCGTCGTTTAATTCCAACTTTTTTGTCATTAAGGACACATGGTTGGGAGCGGCTTCGGGAAAGCCCACTGGAGCGCCTTGTCAGCTCTGGTGTTGAGGTGGGTGTGCTGTTTGCTGAGGGTAGACAATATTCTGAAAAGGAAATCTGATCATGGGAGCATGAGAGTGATCGCTGGATGTCAACCCTGCCACCCTCAACAGAACTGTGATCATTGCCCCAGATATCACTTGTCTGTCCGTAAGTGGCTGAGCTTTGCATTCCTTGGCATGGCTGACATCCAAATCGGTTGCTAGATCCAAACTGGTCATATGAAGAGGAAAATGTATTTGACCTGGAAGGAAGGCTAAAGCTTGAACTCCTCTGCATGGTTGTGAATCCATTGGAGTAACGCTGCACACTTCCCCCACTATAACACCGTCTCTTTTCTACAGGAGTCCAGACCTTTGATCCTATGGGCCTCCATGAAGCCCTGCAGCTAGACATCTCATCAGAAAAAGAGAGTGACCTGCACTGGCGTTTGCTGGGTGGTGCTGAGGGGTTACCATTACGGTCACTGAGACTGAGGTCTTTGATCAAGTTGGTCACTGAGCATGTGCTAGCTGTCTCTCTCTGCCATATGGAGCTTTCTTCGCCTTTGTCTGGCAAGCAGTCCCAAATGGTGGTGCTTGGCTGCTCGATCTGAAGGGGACATTTCCTGCTGAGATCTCTCCATCTGTCATTTTCTAGTTTTCAAATGATAGATAACATATAAGAATTAGTTCTACTTAACAACATGAGTCACTTGCCATAGCATTCACATTAAAAGAAAATCTCATGGGACAGGTCAATATAAATTAGATAAATTTGGCTTAAAAATTAATTGATATACTTGAATGAGAAAAGTTTGTAATCTGAGCAGAGGCAAAAATATCAAATAACTGCAGCAAGAACCAGCACAGCAAACAGCAATGCACCAACTTTACAAATGAGAAAAGAGATGGCTGAGAATATATTTTTTTAAGAATTTAAAGTATTTTGATGTGAATAAAAGAATTTAGCATGGATCAAAAATCAGAACTGACACAGTGCTTTTGATAAATATTCAATAATGGCAGTAAATTAAAAATTGAAATTATTCTGTTTCAACATTGCAGGCTAGGTAAACATGCTTGTGCTTATGAAATTAAGTCATAGTTCCCCCCACTATGCCTGCCAGTTGCATGTCAGGGAACTAAGCACTATTACTTTCTGCAGCACAGCTTGTCATGTCATGCAAACCTAGTCAGGGTGACTTGTTGCCATAAGTAACAGAACCCCCCAAATGCACAGTTAAGTGTTCTGGGTAGCTTGTTATGCACAACAATAAAGCCACCATGGCTAAATTTGCTACTGAGGATAGTTATATGCTAACCCCCTGGTGCCACCTTCTTTCTTTAGACAACACAAGCTTCTTTGGCAAAAAATACTTTATTTCCAACGTACAGCCAGCAAACTAAAATCCAACTAAGAAAGAGTCTTTAAGCATGCAAAGATTGTTTCACTGACCCCAAACTAGAAAGTATTTCCAAGAACCCTCCTTTTCAGTGACCCTGGGCCTCACCCCGTCTGAAGATGGGCAAGCCTCCTAGATCTATGCAGGCCATCTAGTTGGCTAGCCATTCTGTACCAGCACTGTATCATGGGATCAAGTATTGGACCAGGCTGCTTTGGTTCCTCTCCCATGTTCCTTTCTAGCACTTTCAAACCCTGTCAGTTTCCAGGGTCCGTCTGAACACTTGGAGATGGCGGCCTTGAGATAAGCTCTTCTGCCTCACTATGTCCACAAGCCTCATTTCCCAGGCTCACCATTCTCATCCGAAGAGTTGGTGCTATCCTGGCCATGGAAAGCCTGCCAAGAATAACTGACGCTTTCATTCCCAGCACCTGGTTGGTTAACAAGCCACTCTGGCTTATTCCCCATCATGCAAACCAGGACAGAGGTGTGGGGACTCTACAGAATGGGATACACAGTGGTACATGGCACTAGAGGGGAAAAGGGAGAGACACCCAAATTAGATAAGGGTACTTTAGTAGACCAGTCTGCCTATTTCAGCAAGTGCGCCTGATCCTTTTAGAAACATAGAAACATAGAAACCGAGCGAGTCAGAAGGGGCCTCCTGGGCCATCTAGTCTGACCTCCGGTACCAGCTGGCTCCGCTCACGACATGCCCACCATGTGGACGTCCAGCCTGTCCTTGAACACCCGCACCGATGGGGCCTCAATGACCTCTCGTGGAAGCCCATTCCACACCCTCGGGGTCCTGACTGTCAGGAAGTGCTTCCTGGCATCCAAACGGAACCTTGGCTCCCTGAGCTTTGCTCCATTGGAGCATGTCCTGCCTTCCTCTGCAGGGGAGAACAGGTCTCTACCCATCTCCATGTGACATCCCCTCACAGG